CTTTCAAGCATATGTGAGTTTTAAACTTTTAAAGCTAAATTAACTACCATGCTGAATAGCAATATATTACATATTTATATTATGACATGTATGAGCATCTTCCAAATTAAGCCAAGGGTGAGCTCTCCAAAAAAATATCTGTTTTGAATCATTGCATTTGAAATACAGACAGAGCAGCCAGCCATAAGGTAAATTGGAAGAGAAAGAGACAGTGAAATTTAAACTCTGTAAATATCCAGCAAAATTTAGCATGTGCCTAGCATGTATAAATTTACATATCTAATTTCATCTATCAAAAATTCCAACATAATGTATAGCACTAGAGTAGTGCTTTATTAACATAAACTTTTGCAGAAGCAGAAGAAAATATAAAATTATGTTGAAATTAGCAAAGTTTCTCCAAGTTTGAAAACAGTGTTCAGCCTAATCACTTCTTAAATCGTTTAATGACTTATCATCTCAATGTCATTTCAGATATCGTATTTAAAGTTTTTATGTATTTAAAATTATGAGAACATTTTATTTTTTGGAAAATTTGTATTTAAAGCCAATTAACATTATAAAATTTTAATCTATCTATGAAGTGATCTGAAACAAATAAAGCCTATTTTTTCCCCCTGATACACTCTGTTGTATTTGGCTAGAAGGGCTCCCTTTAGACTTGTAAGTATTGTGTTTCATGTCATCTAGTAACACGGTTGTTTACTTCACAGGGTGAGCGAGGTCCTCAAGGTCCCCCTGGAGCTCCTGGAGAAGACGGAATGAGGGTACACTAAATATTTTGAATTAAGCAGCAGGGAACCAAGTCATGTTGAAATACATTGTCTAACTTCATGATCCTCACATTCATTCTGCCAACAACAGGGAGAAGATGGAGAAATAGGACCAAGGGGTCTCCCGGGAGAAGCTGTAAGTAACTTTAGATTTTGGTAGCCTGTTTTTTGAGTAATAGTGCCTACTGAGCTACATATAACTAATTGCTTTGACAAACTATGATACATAGTGTGGTCTCATATAACCAAACCAAATAATTTTAATGTAAAAAAAGGAAAGAATACATGAAATTCTATTTTTGTTATTTAGAAAATCTTACACAACTGAGAGAGTAAAATGTAGAAGATACCATTTCCCCACCTTTAAAACCCTTCTAGTTGTTTTTTGCCTCCATCTTAAAAAAAAATCAAGAGCTCTACTATATATATACAGCTGTTGTCGTTGTTGTTAGGCTGAATGAATCTATCGACTATATAGAGAAAACAAGAATGATATAATGATTATATATCAGATAAGAAATATAATACACTAGATTATATATTTCATCCCCCCCTCCACATTTTATATAAGTTAGGTTAAAGACTAGACCCAAATTCCCCTGCTAATTTTAATTCTAGTTTGCCATTTGACAGATCCTGTCCAGACAAATGCCATAGTCCAAGTAAATAGAGGAGACAGTAAATTGTTTCACTGACTTTTCTGTAGAAGAAAAGTGAGTAGAAAGTAGAGGTGATGAGGAAAAGAAGGAGAAATAAACTCAATAAAGAATAGAAATAATAGGAAAATTTCCCTCAAAGATATGCTTTCTGAAATCTGCACATTTATTCAGCTTTTTGTTTCAGTGAGTAATCTTTCTCAAAATGAGATAATTCTAAACATAAAATAAATGAGGATCTGGACTCTTATATCTATATAGTTTTTCTTTGTCCCAGCTTAAAATTTTAATTCATTCAAATTAGAAAATGATATAAAAGTACAAAGGTTTAAACTTTCTATTTTTTAAAAATTTCTTAAATTTTTGTATATGTTTGTAGAATCAAAGATGTATGGTTTCTGTAACAAAAGTCACTTTCTCATTCTGGATTTTAGATAAGGATTAACACTTTATATTTATGTTAGATTAAAAATTTTACTTTGAACAAAATTTCTGTGCGTTGAAAGACGTGCAAATATTTATACTCTAGACATTACATTGGACTTTCTTCAGAAGAGGTGTGTTCGGAAACCTTAAAAAAAATTAGCATCAAATTTTTATTTTGCTTTCTTTTAGGGTCCTCGAGGATTATTGGGACCAAGGGGGACTCCGGGGCCTACTGGGCAGCCTGTATGTATTGCTAGAAGCTGTTGAAATTTTCTAAAGAAAATATGTTTGCAGACTTTATAAATCCTGGAAGAAAGTTTTGGTAGACAGACACGTTTACTGCCTTTTCATCTTAGATCTAATGGTCGTGCTTGTCACCTTCACTGATCTTTTGCCAGCCCTGTGCACTAGAAGATCAGGGATTTGAACCCTCCAACAGCCTTATAGTTTGGGGGGGAAATGAGGTGACTACTACTGTAAAGATGTAAAGTCTTAGAAAACCAGTTGGGACAGTTCTCTGCCCTATACGGTTGTTAGCAGTTGAAAATCTACTGATTGAAGTGAACTTGAATTTGGAGCGTATTTTGGTCGCTTTATTGATTGTATTTGCATACCAAATTCCCTTACTAAATGGAAAATGCTATGCAAATGGATGAGGAGTTCGTAAATTGATTTTAAGTTATCCTCGCTAGTATGTGTTATTATATTAGGTAAACCTGTTTCCTTTTCGGTGTAGTTTCTAGGTTTACTCATAATCTTTTCCCCCTCCATTTAAGGGTATTGCAGGCATAGATGGTCCTCAAGGCTCCAAAGGAAATATGGTATGTAGAGAACACAATAAATCATCGTCCAATCTAAGTATTAACAAACCATTTTTGTTGCTAAATCTTTTCAGCAAATGATGTCTTGTAGCATTTTGGGAAGGAGTGTCTGCTAATAATAATTAGCAAGATTTTCCTAAAGTCAATAGAGGGAAAACTGATTTGAGGGCTGTTTTCTCAGTTCATCAGTAAAACCATCTATTGTGCCATCCCCTTAAAGACACTTTATATTTTCCTCCGGCAGGGTCCCCAGGGGGAGCCTGGTCCACCAGGTCAGCAAGGAAATCCAGGACCTCAAGTAAGTCTAAGCCACTGCAGCTCCTTGGAGATAATGGGGTAAGATAGTATCTTTATACAAGAAAATGGATAGCCTCCCCATGTTTTATATAGCCCTAAACATATTTAAAATGTGATTGTAGGAAAACATTTTACTTTCTTTTCTTTTTCTTTTTAAAATTTAAGCAAACTGTAGGAGCCCCACTTTTTCTAAGAGAAAATGGATCATGCAGTGCTCATGGAATTCCAGCAGGAACTGCTGCCCCTGCAGAAGGCTCCTGACTAAGATCCTATTACAATCTCATGGCCATGACTAGGATCCTATTACAGTCTCATTGCCATGACTAGGATCCTATTACAATCTCATGGCCATGA